ACAGGGATGTGTATATCCAATCTAAAAAAAAATGTAGAAAAACTAATTATAAGTCACAGCATGTTTCCCCAAACTACAGACCTGAATTTTTCTGTATTGGTTTTGCAGCTGATACCTGGAATGCAGTAGAACATATTTCATTCGGAATAAAACCATTACCTTCTGATCTATAGATTTATTCCTAAAGCTGAGCTTCAGGAATGTGACAAAAATAATTCTTGCAGTGCGGCCTCCTGCTCTGCAGGATTTAAATGCTTGTTGATGCGCCATTCATACCTATCCAGGTACGATGGAGCAAATGAGCGCTTATGCACTTTTGTGCACATTGTGTTTAGGCCATTGATTTCAATGGGCTTCCTTACACACGAAAAACGCATTAAAGAAGTGCATGACCCTTCTGAAAAATCACGCTGCACCAAAATGCATGGTAGTTTTGTTGGCTTGTGTTTTGGTATGCACAGACGTGCATTATTAGATGCATGCGGGTGCTAGGTGAGTGGGGGTGAGCATGAGATCACAACCTGAAGCACCTCAGAGAGGAAGCAGTAGGGAAATGGTCACATGGAGTAGGAGTCTGCTGGAGCCATCAGTACACTAAATATTCCTCCTTATCTATGTACCTCTAGACAAAATGTGCATTCAACCCTTGCAACACATGGCTCCTCACCACACGGTTGTTACGTTCCTGAAATTCAGGTTTAACCACTTGCACTCCAGAGGATTTACCCCCCTTCCTAACCAGGCCATTGTTTGCAATATGGCGCTACGTTACCTTAACTGACAATTGCGCGGTCATGCAATGCTGTACATAAATTAAATTTACGTCCTTTTTTCCCACAAATAGAGCTTTCTTTTGAAGGTATTTGATCAACTCTGCATTCTTAATTTTTTTGCGCTTCAAATGAAAAACAATTTTGGAAAAAAAAACTATATTTTTAAGTTTTTGTTTTTAAAACATATCCAGTAAAAACAATTTAAAAAATCAAATTTCTTCATAAATTTAGGCCAAAATGTATTCTGCTACGTCTTTGCTGAAAAAAAATCCCAATACATGTAAATTATTTGGTTTACGTGAAAGTTATAGCGTCTACAAATGGCGGTATATAAACTGGAATTTTTTTTTTGTACTAGTAATGGTGGCAGTCAGCAACTTATAGTGGGACTGTGGCGGGCATTGTGACACTGGGTGGGAACTGACTAACTGTCACTGACTTCCCCAGTGACACTAATACAGTGATCAGTGATAATAAAAAGCACTGTCACTGTAATAATGACACTGGGCAGGAAGGGGTTAACATCTGGGGCGATTAAAGGGTTAACTGTGTGCTGTTTTACATCATGTGCTGTGTGTGTTTTACTAGGGAAACATGCTGTTGTGTATTTCTCTAAATACACAGCAGCATGTTATTGTTGGCAAGAGAGAGAACTGTGTTGTTTACAGAAAGATCTCTCCCCTGTCAGTGTTACTTGGTGATCACTGGGTGCCGGTGGGGAATCTCTGGCCAGGACCCGGTGATCGACATCTGTAGCCGCCAATGCTGGTGTGGGTAGGGTGGCACGTGCGCCCCCTAACTGGAAATGCGAATATATATATATATATATATATATATGTGTGATTTTACGCAGCCCTGCTGCCCTATAGTAGTATTTCTGCTATGGGGCGGCGGGGAAGTGGTTAAATACTTCTCTTTGGTTAACAAAACAAATGATGGATGATTCCATAAAAAAATAACATCTTTTATACAATAACAACACCTCTGCCATAATTGCCATTGAGCTCCTCCCCTATTTGAAGCCCAATTTGTGGGCATTCCCATTTTGGAGTTCAACCAGAGCTCATTTGAGACCTCCCCCCTCAACAATAACCATGCATCTCAGGCCCCACTTTTATCAGTCTTGGTCTAGCAGGTTACATCAGGAGGTTCCCCACAGGACATGACTAAGTGTAAATCGCTGTTTATGTTTTCCAATGACGGCCAATCTCAGGAACTCTGATTTCATCATCACTGGTCTCTATCACACTTCAGCAATCCACTTTCAGATCACTTTACAGAAGGCATTTGAGGGGCAATGAGGAGGCGTTATGGCACCTCCTCGCCACTCAATTTAACCCTGTAAGGGCTTGTTCACACATGGTATGGTGACTGGTAATTTTGTGCACTGGATGAATACAGTCATCGCTAGTGCTCATAGAAAACATTTGTTTTCTATGTGTCCCATTCACATTGATTTTCAGCCTGGAGATGCAGTGCAGTGAGCTGCAGTAAAATGCATTCCAGAGACTGGTCATGAGGCTATAAAACCATGGCTCAGCCACTTGTTTTTACTGCCCCTGTGTCTACTGTTTGAAAAAACCTGTGTAGAGAAGTTGCAGGAAACCACACAGTCTATACAGGGAAGTTCCCTGCAGGACACCACACAATGTCCATAGTATGAACATACCGCATCTCCCTGCATGCGTTGTGACAGCACTAGTTGGAAGCAGACGCCTGGCTCTGTATACACGTGCTGTCAATCAGTGCTAATTAGTTATTCATCACCTATGAGCAGCATGCTTTCCATGGCAATCCCATAAAGGTTTCCAAACTATAGGTACATGCCATTTTAATAAAAAATGTATTTGCCAAATCCTATTGTTATCTCTATAAATCATTGTGCAGCCAGACAGCATTGAGTCCTCTTTTCTTCTGGGCCCTCTAAAAGTTTGATGATTTGTGATGGCTATAGTCACACCCTTTATGTTACTGGCTTGGAAAAGGAAAAATGAAAAAATAAAAAATGAAATTATTAGGATATCATATAAGACATTTCTGTAGTTTGCTATTGCTCTTACTGTCTGTTGCCAAGCACATTTATTATCTTCCATATATCAGGAGGCATCATGCTCATCTGCTGTGTTGCTTTATATATTATTAAATGTATTCCAATCTTCAGATGGGTTTATGAATTTCTATATATATTATATAGTATCATGGCTATCATTATATCATGTCTTTACTTATTTCAGGTACTTATATATAGCACCATCAATTTATGCAGCGCTTTACACACATATATATATTGTACATTCACATCAGTCCCTAACCCTCACGTGGTGTGCAATCTAAGGCCCCTAACTTACATTCATACATACACATTCTAGGGCCAATTAAGACAGGAGCCAATTAACCTACCAGCATGTCTTTGGAGTGTCGGAGGAAACTAGAGTACATGGAGGAAACCCACGAAAGGCAAAGGGAGAACATGCAAACTCCAGCCAGGTGGTGCCATGGTTGGTATTCAAATCAGCAACCCTAGTACTGCCAGGTGGAAGTGCTAACCATTTAGCCACTCTTCTGCCCACTCTGAGCTGCTCTTCTACCTCTGGGAGTAAGGTTTTGCCCAGAGATGGACTTTAATATTCTGTATATAATGATTAAAGTGATAATAAAACCAAAACCAAAAATGTATTATGTTACAGCTTTCCAGTAATTAGATGTGGTGTCTTATTTCCTCTCTGTTTCACCTAGCGATCTGGCCAGTAACACACCTCCTGTACTAGTGAGATGCCACTCTGGATAAATGAGCACCAGAGGCACAGCAGACAGTCTGTGGGGACTGGCGGGGGAGTGATACATGTACTAGCAGATATAGATACACTAACAAACTCCAGCTCACAATCAATAAATAAAAGACTCTCACTTAAACCACCCCCAAGAAAAGTCACACTTTCACCCTTGAAAGTAAAATACTCAAACCTTTTCTCTAGATAGAACTCAAAACCCCTTAACTCATAAAATACACCCAATAAGTATGAATAAATAAATCAGGTAAATCAATAAAGTAAGGTATATACATTTAATTGAATTATTTTGAAGGTAATACACTATTTTAGTTTCATTTTCTCAAGGTATTACGCGATCTGGAACGGAGAATTAAGTTGGATACACTAAATATTTTGGAGGACTACCTATATTTGGAAATTTTGGAAACTTTTATATTTTTTTGGACACTTTAGTTTTGGTCTTGTGTTTATTTTACAGTATTTCTTATTTTACATTTTATGTACTATTTACTTTATTGATTTACCTGATTTATTTATTCATACTTATTGGGTGTCTTTTATAAACTCCAGCTCATACTTTATAGTCAGTTACAGTAAACAGGTTTTTTTTTCCTTTTGGGATAAAAGCTTTACAAATAATAATAAATAAATAAAAGATGATCGTTTTAATCACCCCTGCCAGTGTTAAAGTGTTACTAAACCCACAACAGTAAAATCAGTCTGTATATGCAGTACAGCATGCTTGTTATACTCACAGTTGAGCCTAAGGGGTTGAACCTCTGCATTGTTTAAAAAGGCTGTTTGATCCTGACTTCTCCGCCCCTCCTCTTGTTCAAATGTTCAGGGTGATAAGACAGACTGAACCCTGCAGCCCTTCTGCACATGCTCAGTTGTGTGTATTGCTAGAGAGTTTTTTTTTTGTTGGGAGAGTGCATGTGATCAGCACAGGGCCAATCAGCACTGTCTAGACAGAGGTAAGGGGTTCCACATTCTCCTAGAGCAGAAAGAAAACTCCTACAATCATTAACCAGTGCTCAGTTGAAGTCACAAGACTGCTCTAATTGCTGATGAGTAAAGGTATTTAGCAGTTTATATTTACTAAAATAATTGCATTTCCATGTTCTGTGTTATGTGTGAGACCATATATATATATAGAGAGAGAGAGCGAATGCAGGGTCCTGGGTTTAGTAACACTTTAAATGGTCTGCCTCAGCCATGTAAACTGATCAGGGGCGGACTGACAACTCATGGGGCCCCCGGGCAATAGGGGATCATGGGGCCCCTGTGTCCTTGCCCAAACTCAAAAAAAAACTATGAAAAAGGTACCAGGGGCATCTCATGGGGCCCCCTACTAACCCTGGGCCCTCGGGCAGTGCCCGAGTTTCCAAATGGCCAGTCCGCCCCTGAAACTGATTCTTTTCTGCTGGAGAGCTTGCGCTTTAATAAAACAACAGACTTGTTGGCTGAATCACCACCAGATGAAAATAGAAGAAAGAAAGCCTAGAAAAGAAAATGAATACAGCCAGCACATCTAAGAATTGGTAAGCTGCAATATGGTAAAAGTTTGCTTTTGGGTTTAATATTGCTTTAAAATCTCATATGAGCTTTAACATGCTAATATAATTTTAAAAGTATTTTAAATGTTTTTAATTCTGCAGTTTCCATTAAAACAATACATGGTGATCCTGGTATAAAGAGCACTTCTTGTTATAGGATGACATTGCGCTGTCCCTGTCTCCTAACTGCTCTCCAGTGTTGCCACAATGAAACACCAGCTTCCATCGGAGCCTACTGGTGTCTATTAGAACACACATTACACAGGCATTGTTCCTTGGTTGTCACCCGCCACGAGAAACCCACCACGAGAAATGAATTGGGTGAATTGAAGTGTATAAAGCCAAGACATAAATGCAAAGAGGCGGCAAAAGATTATAATAAAAGAGATATAACAAAGGACGAAAAAAAGGTGAATAAGTATTTGATACAAAACAAATGTTTACGATACACAGGGCTATGACAAAGTAAACGTCATTCAATTAATTCTTTGGGGAGTTTTTTGTGTGGGTAAAGAAAGACAGCTGCTGGGACTTACTCTTTTTTTCTGCAGAGATCAGCATGGGCACTATATTCATTAATTACTGTAAGTTAGTAAATGAATGCTGGAATCTGGTTACTAGGAGCAACACGGTTTTTAGTTTCTTCAAGCGTTTATAAATCATTTCCATTGAGTTTTTAATGTGATTCAGTTTCACCTCTTTCTCTGCCCACTAGTGAAACAGTTATAGGTCACATCTGTGGAATCCTGTTTTAGCTTTTTTTTACTTACCATCTGCTGCTGAAATTCTTTCAAGCTAGTGCAAATTAGAACCAGGTTCGTAAATGTTCTACCTGCTGTGAAATACACATGCATCTAATAACTTTACGTTTGGTCATTCATTGTAGCTTGGCTGTACAAGTTTTGCAATGCAATGCTATCTGCTCATCTGAGCAATTTGGTAACTAAATCGTAAAATGCAGTCCTCTTATACAGAATACCCTTTAACAAGAGTCACAGACAAATGTAAAAAAATTGAAGTCTATGAAGAATTTTCCTTTAAAGCACCATGAGGTCTTCAGGGGAGTAAGAGGCTATGTGATATGGTGCAAAATCCCGCAAGGTTAGCTGTAAGATTTGAAGCCCCAGTTCTGCATGTGACAATTAAAAAAACAACAAAGAAATACCCACTAAGTCTAGGTACACACCTATGCATTTTATGCTGCGTTTTGCGGAAATGCACAGCAGTCCATTTAATATGCTTTCCTATGGGACAGGTTCACATTTCCACATTTTCACCTGGTGCATTTTTTGGAAAGGGTCAGGAACTTTTTTAACCTCCCTAGCGGTATTCCCGAGTGTGGCTGGGGGTAAAATTTCAGTACCAAGAGTGGTAAACCCGAGCTACACTCGGGATTACCCTGCGGCGTTGCTCAGGGAGTCCTTGCAGCACTTACCTTGTTCTTCGCTCCCGCGATGTGTCCCCTGCAGCGTCCCCGGCCATCTCCTGCGGCCGATGCCGGCATCTGGCTTCCGTGTTCCGGTCCCTGTGACATCGGGACGTACGGGCGCCGGAACCGTCAAAAGCAGTTTTAGACCAGCTAGAGAACAGCGATAGTAAATCAGAACCACTTGCAGAATTGAGTGATAATGATTCGTGGGGAAATTCGTCATCAGACACTGAAAACGATTTAGCGACTTTGCTCAGCGATGTGCGAATTTGCCTCTGTATTTCAAATTTCAGTGTTTTTGGTTTGATTATATTATTGAATTAAATGTATTATTATATTATTTATTTTTTATGATTATTTATTAAATTATAATTTATGATTTCGTGTTTCAAATTTTATCATATCCGGAATGTTTACTAGACTCTTGTTCGGACAGATTTCAGTGAGTTATTCCTAAAAATTACAGCCTACAAAAAAAAACTGCATATTTACATGCAAAAAAATGTACCACTTTCAGCACAAAAAATCGGAAATAATCAGACCGCCGAGGAGGTTAAACACATTTTTGGTTCTATGGACTTCAATGGAGACGCTGCAGAAAAGCATGTAGTGCGTTCTTTATGTACTTTTGACACATTTTTGATGTGTTTTTTGTTTTAATCTGCCCAGCAACAATTAAAAAAAACTTCAAAATGCATCAAAAACATGGCAAAAATGCACAAAAAACGCATGGTCAAAAATGCAAAATGCACTGCAGAAACAGATCAAACGCAAACTGCATAGGTGTGAACCTAGCCTAAGGCTCTGTTCACTTTTGAGCACATTGAATTTGCAACAAAACATGTAACACACTTGCTGTGCCATTTTTTTTTTTTTTTTAGCACCTCAGTTTGGGTGTGATTTTGCCAAGATTGTCACATGAAAAAAAACACACAAAAATTGACGCAAAATCTGCTAAATGCACATGGGCTCAGTACCAAAATTTTATACATTAGCTTCTTTAATAGAAAAAACTTTCTGCACTGCTATAGGTATAGATAGGACTATTGAAAAAAGCTGCAAACACCTAGACCTAGACACCACTAGCACAAGGAAACAAAACAAATAAAATGGTGTTGCGCTAATATCAATACCTTGACCCTGATGAAGTCACAGGCAGTGACGTAACGCGTGGGTCTGTTAGTGGAGCGTGGTGATGGTCGCCCCATTTTGGTACACCCTGAAAGTATAAACTCATTTCAATACATGTGTTTGAGGCCTGGTTTCAACTGATGTGATGTAAGTGTTCATTTGGCATTTCTCCATTAAAGTTTTTGCTTTATAATTACTACACTATGGGAGTGCTCTCTCTCTTTTTCCTCTGGGGTGCGTCTGAGCTGGCTGATGTTCCTATAAAAAAGATTACCAGTTTCAACATTACTGAAAGGCCATATCCCTGTGATCGGTGTGATTCTATCATCTTGGATATCTATTAAGGGCCCTGGGAGTGTGAGGCCTGAAAGCTGTGTTGCCCCTTGGGGTCTTGGCATGGAGGTGAGGAGATATTTGAGCTGGTGATGGATTTATCATTCATTTCACCCAGTTGCTTTGTTTGTTTGGAGTTGGCGGCTTATTTACATGGACTTTATGCCGATTTGATGATCACTTATGTTTATTTTGATGGTCACTCATTATTTGTTATGTCATGTTGCTTTAATTATTTTTTGTGCTTATTGACGCCTGTTTTTTTTTGCATTTTTAGTTTCATGCACCTTGTATGATTAGGTTTGCACATATATTTCTTTGCTTTTTGATTGTCACAGTTTTCTTTTCACTGTGCTTTTTGTACCCTTTTATTTAGGACGTGTTAGTCCTATTACAGTATGTTGAATACATCATTTCTGTTCACTTGTTGATTATTCTGCATGTTGTTTTCATCACAATCCATATTGCACTTAGTTTGGTCTGGTTTCAGACCTTTACATTTTTATGTATTATTTATGATGCATTTTATAGTTTCATGCACCTTGTATGATTAGTTTTGCACATATTTTTTTCCATTTGATTTTGGCACAGTTTTATTTGCATGGTGTTTTTTGTGCCCTTTTATTTAGGACGTGTTAGTCCTATTACAGTATGTTGAATACATCATTTCTGTTCACTTGTTGATTATTGTGCATGTTGTTTTCATCACAATCCATATTGCACTTAGTTTGGTCTGGTTTCAGACCTTTACATTTTTATGTATTATTTATGATGCATTTTATAGTTTCATGCACCTTGTATGATTAGTTTTGCACATATTTTTTTCCATTTGATTTTGGCACAGTTTTATTTGCTTGGTGTTTTTTGTGAACTTTTATTTAGGATGTGTTAGTCCTATTATGTTGAATACATTGTTTATGTTCACTTGGTGACTATTGTTCACGTTGTATTTCATCACAATCTATATTGCACTTAGTTTGGTCTGGATTCAGACCTTTACATTTTTATGTATTATTTATGTTCACTTGCTGATTATTACTCATGTTGTTTTTGTCACAGTTCATATTGCACCTAATTAGGTCTGGATTCAGACCTTTATACTTATCACCTCTGTTTTGGGGTTATTTTTTTCTGTCTCCCTATATTAGCTTCTTTGTCACAGTTTTTAAGCGGAGGGAGGAGGCCCATTCAAAATGCGCCACAAAAACATGTAAAAAACGCACAATAAACTTGATGTGGCAGCATTACTCAGGTTTGAATGGGGCCCAAATATAAAAACAAAACCCAGTTTTCTGGGTTGAACAACAGCCTGGGTAAGGGCTTGTTTACACTAGCGGGAAGGACTTCCGCTCCTCTGAAAAGCAGTTTGTGCTTAGATCACTTTTCAGAGGCATTTGACAGGCAGTGAGGAGGCGATATGTCACCTCCTCACCGCCTGTTTTAATCCCCTAAATGCTGCACTACTACACTGTAACTGTATGCATTGCATGTGGTTGTGGAGTAATTGCAGCATGGCCACATAAACTCTGCTTGTGGACACACCAGGCTGCTGATTTTGCTGCAAAAGGGGGAGTGGTAAAAACACAGTTCAACCCTGTGGTTTTACCACCCCTCAAACAGAAATGAAAATGATTTTAACTAATGCGGGTTGCTTCTTCTGAGCCCTAAGTATGCCTATACTGAACAATATTCACACATCAGTGCAGGAGTAAGAACCATGCACAGCCACCAGAGGAGAAGAGAGAACCCATGACATCAGCTGACCAGCCAAAAGACCCTTGAAAAAAAAAAGACACACACACACACACACACACACACACACACACATATATATATATATATATATATATATATATATATATATTTTTTTTTATTATTTTTTTTTTTTATACATTGCAGAGGGGTGTCTTTCTCACTTGAAAGAAATAGGAGGCTGCCATGGCTGACCTCCTTCTGAAAAATGGTCATTATCTGAGTGTCTTTTGCTTCATTACTGACCCAGAATAAACAACAGTCAAAGAAATCAGGGTCAGTGACCTAGAATGTACTGAATACAATGA